GGCCAGCTGCTGCCTATGAGTGCGCTGTTGGAGAAAGCGCAGCCGAGCATACAGAGGAGACTGAAGTTTGACCAGGTACCAAAGCAAATCATTCGTACTGTACAAATAATGTAAATATGACGGTGTATCACGAAAGATTGATATCAAACTGATCACTTGACCAATATTACGTTACTTGCTCTTCAAGTGAATCAACAAATGGCGAAATGAAAAGCCGAACAACAACAATGCTGTTTCTTTAGAGAGTCTCAGCTTACGTGTGTTTATTTCATATTTTCAGTTGTTTCCCTCCACGGCTAAATAAATCGGTTTCAGTAATGTACTGATATACAAGAATGGACATAAGGAGCTTCTTTCAAAGAAAAAACTCATGGTAGATGTTATTTTATATATTATGCTTTGTATGTTGTTCAGTATATTTCTATGCAAAACAAGAGGAATTCAATACACAGCAGTATATTCACAGTTGAAACCAGATATTTACACTTTATGGAAAACACAAGAACATTTTTTTACTGTACAACATCAATTTAGAGTAAACTTGTTTTGTTTTGGATAAATAAATATTGAAATATCTTTTGAATTAGTTAAATGTCAGAATAAAGAGAGACAGAGAGAGAGAGGACAGAGATGAACAAGAGCAGGTGAGACACACATGTTAGTCAAATGGTTGTTTGCCAAAAGTATCACCGTATCATAGGTCCTCTGTATCTCGTACCTAGTGTTTCTTTTTAGGTTTGCTATTTTTCAAATTCTATATTTATTAAGTTATGCAGGCTTGTTTGCACAACAAGGCTAAATAATTATATAAACTTTTCTCAATCTAAATATGTGGACTTTGGTAGAATTAAAAAATAAATGTAGTGCAGGTCTATGATGATTTTTAGTGCTACTATCATCTAGTTCTGATTCTGGTTCTGTCTTGGTTAAGTCCTCAGTAGTCCTGATTTTGAACTGTTGTAGTCCTGTTTTATTCTGGATCAGTTCTGGGTCTGGTTGAATTGGGGTTTAGTCCTCGTGTCTTGATAGCAGCCCTGACTTTGTTCTGCCTCGCTGCTTAATTAAAAAACTAGTTTAAGGTGTCCTGCACATGTGATATATATTTTTCCCTATATGAAGTCATTCTTTTTTGAACAAAACTCAAAACAGAGCCATTAATCTTTCAGTCATTTCTTACCCCCCCCCTCCCCCAAACATCCCACATGCATACTACCCTTTAGGGCTAAGCCCCGGGTGTTATCAAAATGTCGGCTCCGCCTCTGCGTCTGTGCCTTTACTGTTTCCCTCTGAATGACACGACACTTAGCCATGTGCCATAGACTGTAGGTAAAAGATGGACATGCACATACTTGTTCATTCTGATTGGGGATATTGGCAGCTGAAAAACATTTAAAAATCACTCAGTCACGTCAAATTGGTACTGAATCAGTACTCAACATACTGAGTAATGGCAAAATGATGCCACCTTGTGGGCAGATTTATATCACACTGTTTAATCTTCACCCAGAAAGTGTCAAATTGCAAATTTTGAAGCCAACATGATAACTTTATCACACCAACACAGTGAGGGTCCAGCTTTTCAGATCCAATTAAAAATCAAATCACTCAAAAAGATCCTCTGGAAAAGAGTAGAATTCTTAGAGTTTCTTAAACAGGGTCATATAAACAGCATTAATCAGTACAATATAGCGAGACAACATAGCAAAAGTAAACAAGCAACGCGAAGCAAACCCTGGGGTGTAGCGCCTTAAAGCACAAACAGCAAAGACACACTAAAGGACAGACAGTAAAAAAGCAGCATGGGGTATATCTGACCCTGCTTTATATCAGATCAGTGACCCCTCCTCCTGCTGGGTGACTTTCCATCCTTTGTTCTTTGTTGGTCTTTGTTGTTTACCTGATAAGTTTTTTTCTCAATTCTACAAATGTCAATATTATCTCAATTATTGATGTAATATGTTTGTCAATACTATTCCCCAATCAGTTGTTAATTCTACTTGCACCTTGCTCTTTTCTTTTAATCTTACACTTACGAGCACCAGTCAGGTATGCTTGCTAGAAGTAGGCGACTGTCTATGCTAAGAAAGGGGTTTTCTCACCTTCTGGCAGCTGAGAAAACAGAATCCCAGGTGCATCCACCGCAGGCCAGGTTTGTTTACTGTATAGGCTATGAAAGGGCTGGACACAATGTGGGGCGGTACAGATGAACGTCCCAGTGCATGCTCTAGCAGTGCCAAGCTGAATTAACCCTATGTTTGGACTAGTCACCGTTGGCCTTAACACAATCAAAGGTTTGACCTAAAGATGTGGGTCTTATGATTTGAACATGTAGGTTAGATGCTCATGATTCCATTAAAAAATATTATAATGTTCTAAATTTAACACTTAACACTCCAATTATTCCTGTGATAAAAAATATTCTGTTTCATAAGAAAACACATAACCATGAATGTTGGTCATTCCTGTTTCTGACCTTCTGGATGTTTCTGAAGTCACATTGATGTATGAAACTGTACCTTGATTCTCTCTCTCTGTAGGACAGTGATCCGCTCTGTCTGCACAGCCAATGAGGCGGTCAGCTCTCTCAGCGCAGCGTGGATGTCCTGTGTACTGGACTGTTGGCCTGCAGTCTCAGTCTGATCTGCTGACACAGAGCAGACCAGAAGCAAAAGTGGGAGAAACATGATGATCTTCATTCTGTCAACAGAAACCTGCTG